TAAACAATTTGTCGAATAAAATTAGATCCATTTCATATATTTATTGATTAATTAGTTTGAATCTTATATTAAAAAAAAAAATTTGAAAAAAATATTATGGTGTTTTAACTTTTTTTTTTTGTTTAAAACAGATATCTGCGAAGATCCGGATATCCACAAATATTTAGAAAAAAAATCTGGATATCCGTCCGTCAAAAGCAAATCGAATCACAAATACTGTATTTTTGCCGGATATCCGTTCCGCGTCCAGGCCTAATAGACTGCAGAGCCGGGCATAGGAGTGTGCAAAGAGTGCACTTGCACATGAGCCCTTTTTTAAAAAAAATTTAGGCGAAATTTTCTTTAGAAAAGACCGATTTTTTTTTTGTATAGGCAATTAGGGTTCGAAACTTTTTTTACTCTGTGCTCTCTCAAACTTTGGACCGGGCCTAATTGATTACGTTTTCAATTATACCCATGGGATAATAGTTTTAACTCAATTTTATTTTCCCAACAATCTATTCATATCCTAAATAGAGTAATATATAGAAAACTCAATATCAAAAGCATGTTCATCCATAAATTACCTTAACTAACGATGATCAACAACCAACTTATTAGACCACCTCAATCAAAGGATTTTAAAATATTAGAGAGATTCTCAAAATAATAATTAAATATTAAAAGGGTTTTCAAAAGAGGAGAGAAGATGTTTAAAGTATCTAATTTGAGAACCCTTCTCTCCTTTTTTGAGAACCTTTCATCATATTTTGTTTATAACTAGGCAGTACCCGCGCCAATGCGCGGAAAAACGATATTTTAACAACACTAACTGAAACACCAATGAAAAGATATTAAATAATAATCGACGTGATATTATTTCTAGTATCTTATACATTTTATTTAGTGAAATATAGTTTGAACATTCGAAATAATAGTATTAAACAAAATCGATATTGAATACATATAAAATATTTATGTGTTGAATATAATCTTTTTTATTGATCTTTTTTTATCTTTGTTTGTATTTTTTGCAAATTCTTTAGGAAATATACCCGTAGTATGTATTCTTCCATCATCAGAGATTAGTTTTCAAACAATTTAGAGCACGAATTTTCTAGAGATAGTCCAAGCTTTAGACCAGTTGTCTCAAATTTTGTGTTTATAT